GTATGGGTTAATTTTTGCAGTTGCCAGAAATCTTGATGAAGTGCTGACTACTTTATGTCAACAGAGCATTGTCTCTGCTCAGATTTAACATTCCATCCATCTTGCCAGGAGTTTTCTCATTTCTTCTTGAAGGAAAAATGGAGTTATAGGAAAGAGACAATATCCTCTGTAACTGTAAATCATTGTAGGATTGATTTTGGAGGGAGAAGGAGATGGGGAGACAAAGGTATAATGGTTTATAAGAGTTGAGATATCTGACCATAATAGGCAGACGGAATAGGAATTCATTGCAGTGCAGTACCATATATTCCTCCTTTCAGGAAAGATCTTTCTCACACAAAGGTGGCATCTTATATGAGTTTGAAATGTGTCCAGCCTGCATATACTGCAGTGGGTGAGGAAACTATGGGGGAGGAATGGTACTTAAGCCCTTTGTGCCACCTGTAATTTGGCCCTGTGAGGACAGTGGGAGCTCAATGCAATAGAAAATGCCAATGAGCTGAATTAAAGTTAGGAAAGGGGGATTTCCTCATCAAAGTGTGCTAACCTTAACAGAAATGCATCAGTATTCAGTATGAGCTGATAACAGGTTTAAAAGATGTAGTATAACCACCACTGCCAGGAGACAGCATAGGCGAATCATTCCTTGTCTGCTGCTGTAGAATAGAAATTACGTTGTCCCAAAAGGCTGTATTGAAATAGAACTTCTATCTGTGCTTTGTGTTTTATAAAAAGTTGTGATAGTTCGAGATTGCTGAAACGGAAGTTTCTTTGTTTCTTTTTTTTTTTTCTTTTTTCTTTTCATATCTATCTGAGGAAGTGGGAGAAGTTATACCGATATTTGCTAACAGGAGTTGTTGAAGGTGTCAGCATACTGTAATGCCTAGAGCAGGAAGCAACGACTTCAGGGACAGCAACAGCCTCAGGGAAGGCTTTTAAATGGGCTCAAAGTTACCCAATAGGCTCTGTTCTGAGGATTGCTCTTGATTTTACTGAAGTTAAAGAAAAGAATGAAAGGAAATATTTTGCCAGCAAAGATCTTTCTGAGTTGACCTTATAGAAGTCTTTCTCTTCAGTCTCTGCTATATGAATAGTGAGGGGATCAACACTGTCAATTGTGATGCATGCAGAAATAAATAACAAAATGTGAAAGAGAAACAGTTTTCTCTACTTTAGCTGAGAATCATGAAAGTTACAGAATTATGTGAGGCATGTGGAAACCTGCAGTTTCTTGGAAGGAGAGTCATAGGCCAGGAGCCTATGCAGTAGGTCTGTTTTTACCTGTTTTTACGTTTTATCTTTTAAGAGTAAAACAGTCTAGCATTTGAACCCCCCAGTCACCTCATAATGCTGTGCTACTGTGGACTATCACTTTTGCATAGGTGATGTAGACTGAGGCACTGCTCACAAGCAAAAGTCAGCAATGGTCCCAGCTATGAAATTTGGATCCTGAAATGGTGAACCATAAAGTTTTTTGAATGTCTAGGAGTTGTCTTAGTTTTACATAGAATCAGCTTTTAGGAGATAAACATGGAGCTGTAATTTAGCTTCATTGTTGTTACAAAAATAAATTAGAATTACTTAACAATAATGGAAAAAGGCATGACTTCTTATTCTTCCTAGGGTGTCAAAAAATTATAGAAACTTTCACTTTTAACTTCTGTTAGAACTGAGGAGAAGGGGAAATTTTAAAATTTTGAGACTTTTATCCATGTATTGTAAAGGTTTCCATAAGTACTGATGATGTTCAGAATCATAACTTTTATTTACAGAAATGTAATCTTACTATATATTTGGTAAAGACCAGTTTGATTCAGAGTGAGGATAAGGAAGGCTGATCTAATGAGAGTCAGTTATGTTCACAGTAAATTATAGGCAATTTGTAAATGAAAGCTCCCTGGAGAACAGCATCAGTTCTTACATGGACCAGGAAAACCATATGACAAGTTCCTTATTTTCCTTATCTGCTTTTTTTAGCTGTCTGTGTTAGTTTTGCAATACCAAATCAATTCATCAGCAGTGACATTCTGTAAGAAGACTCTCATTGCCCAGCAGTGCATGCACTAAAAAACCTATTGTTCAAGTTCACAGTGTCAGGCAAAATGGACATATTCTATTTTACTCCTATTTCAAAGGCTGACCTTCTGATGATGACTGTTACGTTCTTAAAAGTATGTTTCAGATATTTCTGAGAACACAAAGAGTCATCCCAAGTACCTCAAAGAGGCTAAGGCACCAAGTCACTCTCTATCAGTTGAAGAATGATCAATTCTTGTAATCAACAGGAACCAAATGTCAATTTTCTCTGACACACAACACATTCAACATTGATTTATTGCTCATGAAGTTCCTCTTCTTTCTCACTTCTGCTATTAGATTGCTAGGCATCCTCACAGAACAGTAGACCGTTTTATTCCACAACATGGTGTGTAGGAAACTCAGGTAGGATGACATTAAAAAGCCTGGGATGAACTAACCACCTGGAACCTTCAAAAATCTAACCCGTGGCAGAACTGAACTTGGACTGGGCACAGGTATGGCATGCTAATGTCTGATTCAGAGCTTGGAACTGAATTAGAGCTAATCATTGCAGGAAGCATTGCAAGGCAGAGAGAATAAACAGCAACATTCAAATAAAGCAAAAGAAATTTGTGCTAAATAAGGAAGGATTGAATGAGTGGCATTTTTTAAAAATTATTTGGTAATAATTATTACAAAAAAGAAGAAAAATTTGGTTTTCTTACTGACCTATTGCTAAAGCCAGTAGCATTAAAGGGGAACTGGAATATTAATAACCTAAGTATTTCTTTATGATGATTAAGGCTTAATACACCTTTAATTAAATTTATTGGAACAAGAGCTTTGCTATTCATGGAAGGGTAGAAAAAATGTTGATAATGATCCATTTTTAATTTAGGGGTTGCATTTTTATAAAATCATAGAATCGTTTAGGTAGGAAAAGACCTTTAAGATCATAAAGTCCAACCGTTAGCCCAGCACTGTCAAGCCCACCACTAAACCATGTTCCTAAGCACCACACCTATGCACCTATTTTAAATACCTCCAGGGATGGTGACTACTTTTACAGAACTAGACAGATTAAGTTCTAGCTGGGCTTTGCCCTTCTAATTTTCTCCCTGCATAACTTCATGACATCCTTGTCATCCTGCTGAGTGGCCTGCCCCTTCTTCCAAAGGTCATAAACTTGCCTTTTTTTCCTGAGTTCCAGGCAAACCTCTCTGTTTAGCCAGGCCAGTCTTCTTCCCTGCCAGCTCACCTTCCAGCACATGGGGACCTCCTGCTCCTGCGCCTTTAAGATTTCTTTCCTGAAGAATGTCCAGCCTTCCTGGACTCCTCTGCCCTTCAGGGCTGCCTCCCAAGGGACTCTGTCAGCCGGGCTCCTAAACTGGCCAAAGTCTGACCTCTTGAATTCCAAGCTAGCAGTTCTGCTGACCCCCTTCTCCTTACTTCTCCCAGAATCAAAAACTATCATTTTGTGATCACTACGCCCAGGACAGACTCCAACCCTCACATCACTCACAAGTCCTCCTCTGTTCACAAACAACAGGACCAATGGAGTGCCTTCCCTAGTTGGCTCACTCACCAGCTGTGTCAGGCAGTTATCTTCCACGCACTCCAGGAACCTCCTGGACTCTTTCCTCTCTACTGTATTGTATTTCCATCAGACATGGGGTAAGTTGAAGTCCCTCATGAGAACAAGGCCTAGTGATTATGAGACTTCTTCCAGCTTCTTGTAAAAGATTTTGTCTGCCTCTTCATCCTGGTTGGGTGGTCTATAACAGACTCCCACCATGATATCTGTCTCATTGGCCTTCCCCTTGATACTCATAAACACTAAATCTGTTGTCACCATCATTAAGACAGTCAAACACACCCTAACATACAGAGCCACCCCACCACCTCTCCCTCCTTGCCTATCCCTTCTGAAGAGTTTATAGCCATCCATTGCAGCACTCCAGTTGTGCAAGTCGTCCCACCATGTTTCTGTAATGGTGACTATATCATAGTTTTCCTCCTGCACAAAGGCTTCCAGCTCCTCCTGTTTGTTGCTCATGCTGCATGCATTGGCGTAGATGCCC